GTCCCTCAAGTTTGTGGGCTTGTCGAGACCAAAGGGACGGACAACATAGATGGAGGACGACACCTGATCCTCCAGCGACGGTTGATCCTGCGGCGGGCGAGGGGTCGCAGCTTCGTCCGGTCGGTCAGAGCTGGGAAAGACGGGTTCTGAGCTCTGCGCGCTGTTCTGGGTGTCTCGTTGGCCGGCACTGCTCTGCGAGTACCCGTTTCTGATCGTCTCAGCCCGGGCGAGTTCTACCATCAAGTCGTGGACAGACTGGTCCATGACCGGGATGATTTCCTGCGGGTACGCCTGGATCTGATGCCACAGCTTGCGCGTCGGGGGATAGAGATTGAGATCGGATATGTCGAGATACAGTCTGGTTGTGCCGAGGAGCAGCATGTTCTCCAACGCTTCCCAGTACGGCTTCGACTCGGCATCCGGTGCTTCTCTCACATCCGCGTCCGAGAAGCCGTCTCGGTACATTCTGTACTTTTGGGTAAAGTGGCGCAAGAACTCCTTGAACGAGGCAAAGCTATCGTCAATGGAGACCGTGGTGCCCCAGATAAGGCTCTGGCTCTGGCCGCCCAGGTGGTCAGCCTCGGACGTGTTTGGGTCTCGATTGGCAAACGACGGCGCATCGGAGCCCGGAGCCCGCCCTTCCTGAACGACCCTGCCGGCGTCATCCAAGATGATGCGGCGCTGGGCACGAGGCGTCCGCATGGCATCGGAGTTGATGTCACCCCGCCGATAAGCAGCCGAACTGCCGCGGTTTGAGCCGACAAACAGACCGCTGCTTTCGCTGCGCAGCTCTGACCGCGGCCCGAGGGATCTACCAGGACTGGAACTCGGTTCGTAGCGAATTGGCGATGATTCTAGAACACGACGGGGGTCAGCGATTGTGCGTCGCGCCTCGATGTTGTATTCAGCCATGACATGACCATCGTGCCATCGCCCCATGACGACTCACCTCCTGCAAGCATGCGGCTTGCTCTGGGCGTTCGTTGAGGGTCATCCCACTGCGACTGCGAGTCTGACATCTGCCGCAGCGGGGAGCTTGGTGCAGCAGCACCACCACCACCACCACCGTTTGTGGTCTGAGTATCCGACATCTGTCTCAACGGAGAGGATACATTTCCGCCCGGGCCGTCGTCTGGGTGACCACTTGCAGCAGGCGGCGGCGAGGACTGGAAGAACAACGGGCTCGAGGCAAGCTGTGATGCCGGGTTGCGAGGCGTGTTTGCCTGGGACTGGCGAGCAGATCTACGAGGCGTGCCGGCCTGCGAGCTGCGCTGTCGGCGATTAGACGGCGACGACATGGCGAAGGATTGTTTTTTTTTTCCTCTTCTTTTGCTCTGCGATCAGCCTGAGTAAGATCGACGACACATTTGTCGGTAACAGAGGAGACAAATGTTCAGGAACGGGGCAGGTATGGTCTGTTGTGTCGTCAAACACGTCCAAGCAAACAGAGAGGAGGGGTCTGGTGAGAGCGCGAGGGGAGGAAGCGCGTCACGCGTTAATGGGAATTCTTGTGTCACGAAAATCCCACCAGCCTCAGACGCTCTGCTTGCGACCTGTGGCTGGAGGGACTTTGTGGCTGAAGGGGGAACGACGGCCCGGCACCCGGTCAAAGTATTCAGCGGGCGACGAGTCGACGACAGACAGCTGGTCACTTACGAGCCGAAGCCCGAAGCCAGGCCAGCGACACACATAGCGACAAAGTCACCACGGCAGCACAGCCCACCATGTCTCCCGGAATGACCCTGTTCTCGGTGCAGGCCGTCCTCATCCTTGGAACCGAGGACGGCGCCAGGATCCTGGCCAAATACTACTCCTCTCCTCATAGCGCTGGAGGCAGCGCAGGCGCAGGTGAGATCGATCCATTCACACCACCCCATCCGCCGTCATCGCCTCCCTCCCTTCTCCCTCCTCAAGCCCGCGCGATTGGGTCTCAGAATTTTCGCGAGTACAAGGACTGAGACGCGTTGAAATGAATTAACCAATAAAAAAACCCCGGGGGCGAAGCAGCAGCAGCAGCAGCAGCAGCAGCAGCAGCAGCAGCAGCGAACCCATACGCCGACCTCAAAGCCCAAAAGGCGTTCGAAAAGGGCCTCATCGAAAAGACGGCCAAGCAGACGGGCGACATTATTCTCTACGACAACCGGATCGTCCTGTACAAGCTCGAGTCGGATGTCATGATCTACGTCGTCGGCACCCTGGACGAGAACGAAATACTGTTATACAACGCCGTCCTCGCCATTCGAGACTCGCTACACCTCGTCTTCAAGTATGACACTTTTCCTCTTTTAACCCCATTATGCCAGCAAAGAAGAGGAAAGAAAGAAAAGAAAAGAAAAAAACTGACTGCCTCTCGCGCCCTCCCCAGACAATCCGTCGACAAGCGCACCATTATCGAAAACTACGACCTCGTTTCTCTCGCCATTGACGAAATCGTCGACGACGGCATCATCCTCGAAACCGACCCTACCATTATTGTCCAGCGCGTCAGCAAGGCGCCGACGCAGGACGTGCCCATCGGCCGCATCGATCTCAGCGAACAGGGCGTCAATAACCTTGCCCAGCTGGGCAAGTCGAAGCTGGCGGACTGGTTACGGCAGGGTCTGTGAGAGGGTTGTGTTTTCGCTGCGTAGCGTGGGAGGATTTATTTGAAAAAGGAAAGACGATGAACAAGTCACAGGACAAAAAAAAAAAAAGAAACGTCAAGGACAACTCACAGGATAGAAAGGTGAGGGGTCCTCCTGTTGCAGATGCTTCCTTCGATGTACTTGGCGGGAAAGCACAAAGAACAAAGCTCCAACGGTGCTTTTACTGGGCACCACATGAATGAAATCATTTCAATACAGTCCATGTCAAATCTCGAAGACACCGAGATCCATTGGGCGATGAGATGATGGAGAGAGAAAAAGACGGCTCCGTCTAATGTAAATAAGAGACGACGACTTTTGTTTTATCGGCACGTCTATTTTACCGCTTCTTTTCCCCGGCAGCCTCTCTCCCCGTTCCCTCTATCCTCTAATCTCAGACGCCGCCTTGCGAAGGCGATTCATGACCGCCGCCGCAACATCTCCATGGTCGTCAATGCCCTCCACAAAGATGACGTCCACGCCCCGCGCATCCAGCTCCCGCAGGGCAGAGAACAAGCCCTGCGCTATGGACTGCGTGTCCTGGCCCAGGCCAATGTCGAAGACCTCCCCCACCACGTTCCCCCCCTGATCCGTCAAATGGCCCGCGTATAGCTCGTGTGACGAAGGCGGGCCATCGTCCTTGTCGTCGTCTGCCCGACCCGCGAAAAGCCGCAAGTCGGCGGCGGCGGCACACTGCAGACCAGCCGCAACGGGCCATCTCCTCGTCCTGATGACACCCACGCGCCTGGGTGCGCTGCGTCGTGATGCTGGTTCTGATGCCGATGGTGCCACGGCCGCCCGCGCGTCCGCCGCGACGAGACCCCCCCTTCCAGCTGCGTAGGCTGCCTCGTAGAGCACGACGCGCGCCCTCGGGCTGTAGTGCTTGTACTTCATGCCCGGAGCTCGGGGGGCCGCCGCCGCCGTGGCCGCCGCCGAAGAAGCAGTGCCCTCCTCGCTCTGGTCCTTGTAGGCCTTGACGACGCCCTCCCAGCCGGGACAGCTGCGTATGTCGTCCATGCCGACGCCTCCCGGCCTGAGCACGGCGGGCGGACGACACAGCCCGTCGACGACGGTGCTCTCGACGCCGACGCGGCACGCCCCCCCATCCAGGATCAGCTCTATCCTGCCGTCCAGGTCGTCCTTGACGTGCTGGGCCGTCGTGGGGGACGGTCTCGTGGACGCGTTTGCCGACGGCGCCGCCAGCGGCACCCCCGCGAGCTTGATCAGCGTCAGGGCCAGCGGCGACGAGGGCATCCTCACGCCAAAGGTGCCGAGCCCGGCCGTCACCTCGGCCGCCAGCCGGGACGGGCGCGGATTCGGCAGCAGGATGGTCAGCGGGCCGGGCCAGAACCTCTCGATCAACGGCCGGTACAGCTCCGGGAGGGGGTTGACGGAGTCCATGTCCGCGTCGGGGTCGCAGTCGGAGCCGTCCACCCGCAGCAGCTCCCGCAGCATGCGCAGGTCGCACACGTGCACGATGAGCGGGTTGTCCGACGGCCGCCCCTTGGCCGAGTAGATGCCCCTGACCGAGGCGCTCCGCGTGGCATCCGCCCCGAGGCCGTACACCGTCTCCGTGGGGAAGGCGACCGGCGTGTCCCTGGTCCGGAGGTGCTCGGCCGCGGGTCGCAGCGCCGCCACGGCATCCTCGGCCTCGGGACTGATGTGCCAGCGGTCTAGTCTGTCAAGAGGGGAGGAGGAGGAGGAGGAGGAGGAGGAGGAGCCCTTTGTGTCGCCGTCAAAGTAGCCCAACGGGGAGGTCCCTCGGGGTATCGACACCACCCGGGTTTCCATGGCAGGCGGCGGACGGCGAACTGCGGCCGAGCCGGACGGGCTGATGCCGATATAAGTCGAGGGGTTGTCGCCGGAGCCAAACGTAACGTGACTTGGTTGTCTTCCTCCAAGGGTTGAGAATCGGTTGCCCCTCCCGCCAAACAAAGACAAGAAAAAAAAAGATTCGACCCGATTATACAGCTGGCGCAGACCTACTCTTGCCGGCCAAGTTGTCCGGTCCCCAAGTGTGCGAGCTGTTGAGAGCAAAAAAAGGCTTGAGTCGGTCATCCAAATTTTTTCCAAGTGACTCACATCATTTTTCTGGCGATCCAGTTGCTGAACCAGGACAAAGGCTGGATCCCAACCAACAGCCTACAGGCACATCATTGGAGGCCACCCACTTTTTTTTAACAAGTAAAAAAAAAAACCGTGCCCTGGCCAAAAAAAACCCATAAGAAGGTATGCTCTTAAGTTTTAGCTCTCATAGTCGATTCAATCTATAAAGAAGACTTCCCTTGTAATGCAACATAATTTATGAATGAAATGAATTGCCCATTGGAGGGGGAGGGCAGAAAAAAAGAACTGGTTGTACTGCAATCAAAAATTTGGACTCGCCGGGAATTGAACCCGGGACCATTCATAGGCAACTATTACTGATCGCTCAGATGGAATCCGAACTTTCACAGGTGCGAAACGAAGATCATACCCCTAGACCACAAGCCCATGTCCCCTTCTCAGGGGCTGTTGTTGAAAGACGTGCAGATATTGTGCCCTATATACCACGTCACACACCTGATCTACCTTTTACCTGAGCAGCGAAGCGCCGCGCCTCGCCCGCGCACTTTTGTCCTCCTTGTGATTGATGATTCGACTTGTGCTATTGACGTCTGGGCAGTCCTTGGGTGTTATTTGTTGTCACAGTTTCGGGTAGGTATGTGATCATGGAGGTCTAGCCTTAGGTGGTATTCGCGCACATGATGGATGATCCTATCGCTCGCTGCTCGCTGCCTGAGTGCAGATGACGTGGTTTTGGTGCGCAACCCTGTACCGTCTACGTGTTAAGCATGTCTGTCTGCCTTCTCGCCTCTATTTTTTTTTTTTCGTTTTCAAAGTTTTTCTTTCAAAAGAAAAAAATGTCACGTCACAGACTAGGTTGGCTAAAAAAGACACACTCTTACTTGAGCAACCCTCACTGGGTCGGCTACCAGGACGTTTACTTCTGTTCTTCCATATAGCTGCGACACCTGAGTCAAAACAAACCAGACAGTCCCGGGTAGGCAAACCTCATCTGGAGAGTCCACGATCCACTTCCACCTTTGCATGTCTTTGCATGTCTGATGCTTCCAGCTGCTCGACGATGAAAAAAAAATTTCAAAACTTGAAAAACCCAGCAATGCCCGCGAGATGCCACCCCATGTTCACCTCCGCACAAGCCCCCTAGCCTTCCTCATCTCCTCCGTCGTCAAAACCCAGTCCATGCCCCCGCCGCCCGCCTCCTCCCCCACGAGCTCCTCCCACTCCTCGTCCTCCATGTTCGCCACCATGAGAAGCTGCGTCACCTTGCCGAACGCCTCCCGCACGCCATAGTCCCCCCCCGACACGATCTCCACAATGCCCGTAAAGTCCCGCTCGATGCGCACCACGCCAAACGGGCTCGTCTTGCCGACATAGGTCAGGATCTTCTTCTCCAGGATGCGCGACAGGTGCCGCGCCGTCAGGTCCAGCAGGGTGCCGAACGTGCCGGGCGTCATGATGCGCGCGATGGGCTTCATCAGCTGGTCCCAGCCGTGCTCGAATCGCCGGCGGACCTGCTGCAGCACCTGTGCCTCGTCCTCGTCGTTCTGCTGCGCCAGCTCCATCAGCTCGTCCTCGAGGAGGGCGTAGTCGACGTCGCGAAAGGTTTCGCTGATGACGGGCCGGAGGCGGAGCTTGACGACCTGCGTGAAGAGGACCTGGATGCCCTCGTTTAGTAGTTCGGTGGAGCTGGCGACGAAGCCTGTTTCGAGAGCGTGCAACGACTTGGCCACAGAGGCCACGTCTTTTTCAAAGGGGAAATACTCCCGCAACGGCCCTTGTAATGTCACAATCTTGGCCGCCTGCCCCTCCGCAACGGTGATGCGACTGCCGATGATTCTCCTCAGGTACTCGTTTGACTTGTCCAAGCTGTTGATGAGCACCATGAACTGTATGATCTTATCCGCCGGAGGGAAGCCATCATGCATGACGGGCTTCGGATACGACTCATCCCGCATCTTGCGTTGAATCATGCCGATAAAATCCGAGCTCAGAACTCGGCCCACCGTAGATACCACGGAGGAGATGACATCCCGCTGTGAGGTCGAGATGGACTTTTGCACCACATTGTCGACAATGTACATGACATCATCCACGGCTGTGATTATGAAGGGCGCATTTCCCTCAACGGGCCTGGGCCTGTTCAGGCTGAGGGACAGACCGGCAGGATACTCGTCCAGCTGAAAGGCCTTCTCTACCGATCTCCGAAAGAAGAAGGTCGTCATGGTGTTGTAGGGAGTTGCGAGTTTCGCAGACACCTTGCGATAGAGGTTTGATTTCACCAGCAACTCTGGCAGGACAAGAACAGCGTCTTCGTTATTCGCATCCTAATTGCAATGGTCAAGAAATGAACGATTCGAGCCGCTACCAAGCTTGACCGAACTGACGGTGGGTGCTATCGGCTGGGGGACTTACCATGCATTTCCCTGACAGGAACCGGGTGTACAAGGACCATCGACCGAGCATGACCGCAATCTCACTGAGAAGCCCATCCACCTCCTTCATGCTGACACCCTCGTCCTCGCTGGATCGCGGGTTGTTGCCTCCCACCGAAGGAGAACTCATTCGAGGCGTACCGCTCCTGGGGGCCTGTGACAAAACGCTCTGCACCAAGAACGAAAAGGGATAGCTTTTCACGTCGGTCATCTTCCTGTCAATACCTCTTTCCTCGCTCCACGTCTCGAGGATGATGCCGCCTTGGACGTCGGCTTCCATCTGCAACCGTTCGATGACCCGGACCATCTTGCCGACCCCGTAGTGCCTCTCCACGAGGCCGCCGTGAGACTCGACAATCTGCGCAATGTGCTCAAACAGTCTTGTCAGTGCATTGGCATAGAAGAAGCCCTCCCTTCGGTTCAGCCCGCCCAAGCTGTCCTTCAATGTGGCGCGCGCAGTTCCCGCGACTCCCTGACAGACGTAGCGCCCATACACATCCAGACCGACGTCTGCCCGCCCAATCAACGGGAACAGCTTGAAGAACCGCGTAACCTTGGTCCCGTCGCCGTCTGCAGCAGCCTTTTCAAACTCACGCAGGAAGAGGCCGCACAGGGACTCTCTGGAGGTTTCGAGAGTCACCCACGGGGCGTCGGGCACCTCCACGCTCGGCACTATGCTTGCAGCGAAGGCGCCTTTGGTGATATCCTCGGGCACCTTGCTTGCTCGGGACAAGTACCCCGCCGCCGCCTCCCAGTCCTGCGGTGCGCCCATGGAGCCAACGACGCCATTCACACAAGCCTTGAGCTCGGCCACCTGCTCCACGACCCCAAGAGTGTCTTCCACCCGGCTCTTCTCCAGATCAAGCTCCTTGACCCGATTGCTGAGTCTCCCGGCCGTCTCGGCCGCGGACGAAAGCATGTCGTTGTTGATGGACCTCACAGCAACGACCTGGGCCCCGAGCCCGGCCCGCAGCAGGTCCAGTCGACCGAGATCTCGCGTCAAGTCGGGCTGTGAAGCAAGCAGTGAATCGAGTCGGGCCGTGATTGCGGATTCCCGGTCGTGCCACGCCAGCAGCGCAGCTCGCAGACCGGCCGCGTTGGTGACATCGCCGAGGGCCGACGAAGATGTCGGCTTCGGGTGCTTGCCATCGCTTAGGCTGGGATGGCGGGCTGCTCCGTTCATGAGGGCAGACATTGGCGACGAGAAGGTGTGTCCGGGAGGCGCATAGCTCCTGGTGCTTCTGGTCGACCCTGTTGCTGCGAAGCAAAGCCCAGAGCTTGACGACTGTCCTGGTGGTTGTGGCTGGGGGTGATGCTGGAGAGTGGGTTGAGCCAAACGGTCGTGGGGCCTTTGATATCACGTTTCGCTTACCTGCTTCCGTACCATGTTTTCGTCCTGTCGCAGTATTCCAAGTCCACAGCAACAAAACAGGTAGAGGTAGTTGGCTGGTCTACTCCGACCTCTGGTGCCATCGTTTGCTATGATATGCTCTATTTTATCTGATAAAAATTCGGAGCTCTGACTCGTGCGAGCCCAGCCAGCCGTGCGCAAGACCACCGGATCCCATGACCTTTTCCCAGACAAAGAAAAGAAAAGAAAAATCTGTACAAAAAAAAAATAAAAAAAAAAATCTAAAAAATGGTAATCAAACAGCCTGACTATATCCACTGCCCAAACGCCTTCTTCCGTACTTCAAATACTTGCGTACTTCGTCCGCCCAAAACACCGTACTGCAAAGAACCACCAGTTTGAAAAGATCCCCCAACCCGATCGCTTCTGTCTGGAACACTTCCTGAAGCCAAGGCATATAGATGACCAACAACTGGCAAATGACGCTAAGAGACACCGCCCAGTTGAACAGATTGTTTGCAAAGAGCCCCATTTCCCCTCTAAAGATGGACTTGGACTCCGATCGACAACTCAGTGCGTTGAACATGTCGAAGAAGACAAAGCACGTAAATGTCATTGTCGTGTCACGTCTCGTCACCTGCCCATCCGCCATCATTTCATGGCTATAGATGAGCATCGTGCCGATCATGATGATGGCGGCAGATGTCAAGACACGCGTCAGGACCGCCTTGGTGAGTACGGCGTCGTTCCGTCGCCTCGGCGGCCGGTTCATCACATCTGGATCGACTTTTTCCACGCCGAGCGATTGGGCTGGAGGACCGTCCATGATGATATCTGAACAGAGAGGTCAGCAAAATCACGAGCTCAAACACGATCACGAAAACAAATGACCGCTGCACATACTTATCCAGAGAATCTGCATCGCGTTCAGCGGCGTTTTAAACCCAAAAAAGGTACACAGGAGAACAAGCGACAAGCTGGCGGCGCTTGTGCTGAGCTGAAATGTAAGAAAGTTTTGTATGTTGTTGAAAATGCCCTTGCCTTCCTCGATCGAGCGCAAGATGGTGGAGAAATCATCGTCAGTCAAAATCATGTCTGCGGCTTCCTTGGCAACGTCTGTACCGTGCCGGCCCATGGATATACCGATATCAGCCCTTTTCAGCGCCGGAGCATCATTGACGCCATCTCCAGTCATGGCGACAATGTCTCCACGAGACTGCAGAGCTCGAATGATCTTCATCTTGTGATCTGGATTTGTCCGGGCAAATATGGTTGTGTGTTGCATGGCCAGGGCGAGGTCCTCTTCCGACATTGCGTCGACCTCGTCGCCGCGAAGGACGGAACGCACAGTGCCTTGACTGCTCGAGTGTTGACTGGCTACAGCTATATTCATGCCAAGTTGCTTGCCAATGGCGAGCGCCGTCGTCTCGGCATCGCCCGTGATCATGATGACTTTGACACCTCCCCGCATGAGCCTTCTTATGGAGCGACTGACACCAGGCCGTGGCGGATCGCTCATACCGACCAAACCGGCGAACGTCAAATCACGATAGACTTGGTCATTTGCCATGGAGACGGAGCCTTCGCTGCTGCTGTCGGGACCAGGTGTAGCCGTTCGAGAGCCGTTCTGGACAGAACGGCCC